TATTTATCAAAATCTCAGTGGACAAGATTGAGTGTGATTTGTTAAGGCATCATTGCGACAGAGACTTCAGTGAACATTCCGTCTGATTAATTATTCAGGGAAAGAACGGGGATTTATTCATCACAGAAAATACTTTAATCAGTTTCTTCGCTACTCTCGGCAAAACGACTTCGTACTTGACAAATTACACGTCATTTGGTTCCCCCTTAATTGGAAATTTATTAAATAAAATTTTAGCGAGCGTCCCACGGCACGATACCGTCGATCATGCGCTTCTACCCAGTCTTTCTGTGATCGCCCTTTTATGATTGTGCGCAGTTGTGGATCAGGGCTTGGAATCTCCGCAATGAATACAAATGTAATCCATGCCAAATAAATTCAATTATCTCCGTATAAAGCCTGATATCAATATGCGCCAGTGAAAAATTCTTGTTTGGGGAAGGTACGTCTGATATTCTTTAAACTTGTTACGGCACCCATGGGTATGAATGGAGTTAACGAAAGAATATTGGCAAGCAGTAATCGATAGAGAACTAAATTAAAATATACGCTCTAGATAAAATTTCTAATACATACACTAACACATGCAGGTTCTCTAGTATTATGGGAATATCAATTTGAAATGAGATGTCTTGGAGACCTTTAATGTCAAAATAAAATTTCATATCACAACTATTAAAGTTCCTAGTGAAAACATTCAAAATTCCTTGAAATAATTGATATATATGTATATAACTTGCAGGTATTGTTTTTACAGAATAAGTTTGAAAAAATCAAAGTTTGATTATTTTCATAAAGTTATAAATTCTTGCTCAAGCTTCTATACTGTGATGAAGGTTAAAGAAACACCCAGTCATTGCAGTTACTCTATATTGTTCTTGAGATTTCTTTGTAATTTGCATTTTAATTTTAGGAAACTAATCAGACTAATGTTTGTAATTATCAAGAAAGGCTACAATAATTTTGAAATATTTTAATGGATTTTTATTTAACTCTGTTATTATTATTTTAAGTCATTTCTATGTCTGCAATTGTTTGACCGTAAATATGATACATTATATATGTTTTTAATAAACACATGAGAGGAGACCAACATGAAAGGGCACAGAAAATATTTCAAATTGTATAAATTGCCGGAATATTCATATCATGAAAGAGTTAAAATTGTGTTTGATCAACACCCGCAAAGTGCAATTTGAATGCTTGTAGTGCAACTACCAATCATATGTTACAAATTTATATATCTTACCTGATTCTATTGATAGATGATTGATTGAGTCATTCTCCTCAGATTAACAATGAACATATCTTAATTTAACGTTCTGTAGGCATCATAAAAAAAGAATACAATATTTCCTCTGAAGATAATGACAAACCTGTGTTTTATATTGTTTTAATAATGGACTTAGGGTATGTTAAATGCTTAACACATAAAGAACATAGCGTTGAATGTGAATATATATATTCTTTATTTGTGTCTCATTCATACATAACAACATCAAAACATTATTGTACAAAATAAAATGTGTTTGTGTACGGCCATTCTAATCAGAATTATAAGAGACTGTACAACAGTAGCAAAACTAAAACTTAGTGTCTTCCATACATAAAAATATCATGAAAAAAGCAAAACAAAAAGAAAAAAAAACAATAATAGTTTAGCTATATATTTTGCCATTGAATACCATTCCGGAAACTGTTACAAAACATCAAAAAAATAAAATAGTTAATATGAAAATAAATGAAAATGTTATTCTTGCTAAGTGGGCCCATTTTACTCAGGTGAAAGATATACAAAATATATTAACGCTATTAATTTGATATTCTTGACAAAAGGAGACGTTTTAGGGTCCTTTAAGATCTGATAAATAAATATTTCTTGGACTATTTACAAGTTGAAATGGTTTTGTGTTTAAATATATTCAATAATGTGGATTTATAATATACAAAACATACAATTATTTGAAAAAAAAGTGTATGTTTTAACCGTCTGCTTTACATAGACCTGTCAGAAAATTACTGTTTTGTCAATTTTTGACAACAAACATACTAATCAAAAGACAGAATTTTACAAAATATAACCTTAACAAAATATACCAGTCAATAATTAACCTTTGTTTTACGCATTTATACAGTCTGGCAAACATACGAACTGATTCGAGTTTGGACACATTTTTGCCAAAACATTAGATATAACCAATTTATTGTGTAAGAATTAAACATTTGCCAACAAAATCTGGCAGCTTCAGATTGATGAAAAAAAAGTCTAACAATTATTTGTCTGTAAGATTTTTTTAAAGTTTTCTTGTATTTTATATGTATCATTGTGGTGTATTCCTCACTTAAAGTGTTAGTATTAGTTTGATCTTAACAAAATTCTTAATGACACAGTTTATATTTGTACATCGTCCATATCATATACCAAATTTAATAAAAAAACAAAACAAACAACTGCAAGAATGTAATTTGAAATATCTAATCTTATCGTTTTGATAACATACATATAAAACCAAGATTTAAAGCGTACGAATGATAATAATTCTATATTTAATGTGCATTAAATGTTTACTTTTATAATACTTTATATCAAACGTTATAACATATAAAATATGAACAATAAAAAAAACTAATGTTCATACAAGTAGAGTGCAAATGGATTCATTGAATGTTTTCAACACGTGAATTTTTCAATTGCGTGTGTTGCCAAGAGAACACTGAATACCCAAAACAAAGACAATAATATCTGCAAGTATATCTAAGACTAAGAATTTTGAAGATGATATTCAAGGTAAAAAAGAGAGAAATATTTACTGGCTAACTGATGGCGATTAGCATAATTTCCTTAAGTGGAAAGGAATACGACGCAAATTGGCGAATCCAAACAAAACGTCAGTCCATATAACCCTCAAAAAGTAGTGTTATCTCAGGAAACCGCTTTCCAAGCTTTTCATTTTTCAAGATATACGACATACAATACAGATCAATAGTAATTATGGAAGAAGCGATTCATTACAAATCGTTGATGCGGATTCGATTCCACCGGGATGCCATTACGTCCCATTTTCGATCTTCCGCGAGACATTGACAAACTCCAGACCTCTGTGTAAAGGATCGTGTTTTCTATAGGTTGCCCTCTCTTTCCATTGTTCCAATTTTATGCCAGCTAACTCGCTGGAACAGACAAAATGTAGGAAAATTATTAGATAAATATTTAGATAAATAGATGTAAAAGATTGACCGTTTAGTATCGACCAACTGAAGACGATAATGGGTTGTCTGGACTTCCGTATAATTTGCCATCCCGTTGGTAGGCTTTCTAGATTAGTACAAAGTCTATTCTTTTTTCTTTTCCTATGCCAATAATCCATACTCGGAAAAGAAGTCCTTAATTTGGTAAAGTTTATTTATCCGAACTTCTGAGTATATTCAGAAGTTATTGTTTAAATGGTATTTAATTGACAGAATGTCATGTCATGTTTTTGATGTCACAATCGATAAGATGTCCCTACTGGCAAGAGATCAATGAGCGATATCTGCTACACGAGTTAACTGCTATTTAATACAACGAGATGGGACTATTTAACAGTAAAATGAGTAATTTAAAATCTATGATAGGAACGACAACATTTGAGTCAAATGCTGCTCGGAAGAAGAGCCACTTTTTATGAGTAGAATTACATGAGGAAACCAGTACAAAACAAGATATAAATCACCGCTTCATTCAGTTTGATGAAAACACGACACTTTAACATTGAATAGAAGATATGGCAAATCAAATTACAAAGCAATTAAGCAATTATAATAAGAAAACAATTTAGGAAAATTTGATCTGTTACACGCTATTAAAATCATTTCATTTCAAAAATCATTTATGAAATGAACTGTCTAGATTATATTAGATATTAGATGCACACAAACATTCAATGAAAATGTAAATTAACTTTCTTTTGTTTTTGTTACAAATTTCCCGTTTTTCATTCTCATTGATATGAAATATGTGTCTAATTTTATAACATGTTCACACTTTTATAAAGTCTATGATATCTAATTTTAAAACATGTTTGCTCAAACTTTTATAAAGTCTATGATATCTAATTTTATAACATGTGCACACTTTTATAAAGTCTATGATATCTAATTTTATAACATGTTTGCTCACACTTTTATAAAGTTTATAATATCTAATTTTATAAAATGATCAAAATTTTGTAAAGTCTATGATATCTAATTTTATAACTTGTTCACACTTCTATAAAGTGAATGGAATGATATCTAATTTTATAAAATTCACACTTCTTATAAAGTCTAATTTGTATAATTTGAAATAAAAAATTATAATTGGAAATTACATGTTATAAAAAATAATGGAAAGTATAGAAGATGAATTGCTCATTTCTTTCCTTGTATTATTTTCTGTACTTTGATAACATCGTTAAATATATGTAGGGAAATATCTTAACAGATTTTGTAAAAGGGAACTATTACTTTAAAATTAAAATTGACAATCAAACATACCTATTCGTTTATATGTTAATGTGGCTTGCTTTGTATCATCCTAATATATGAATGCTGAAATAACATTAGCCTGTTTTTAATGTGATTTTCACTTACTTAAGGGTACTGCCGCATAACTGATCAAGGTCTAATTATACATCAACAGCCCGTTTTGAAAAGGAATACGGGAAAATGTCAATCGACCAATAATAATTAATAAACATTTTTTTAAAAATACTAAGTAAATTAAATTTAATTAATTTTTTAAAATTTAATAAAAATTATTTTAAATAAATTTTATTAATTAATATATTTTAATTATCATAAGGCAATGTCGGGTTTAATTTAAATTTCAAGCAAAATATAGGTGAAAATCACATATTTTATTACCTTTAAATTTTTTATACAAAGACGGAATTTAAGTGTATGAGGAAGACATATTTGAAAATAAGCAACGGCTCAAAGTTGTACCCGTCGTTTAATTCGTATATTGTGTTATTTTCCAGGTTTATCATACAAGATGTACCAGCACAGTCACGAGAACGGCATCAGTCCCGAAAAACGAAAACAAAGGCGTATCAGGACAACATTTACCAGTGCTCAACTTAAAGAGCTGGAAAAAGCTTTCTCAGAGACGCATTACCCAGATATATATACGCGAGAAGAAATAGCCATGCGCACTGATCTCACTGAAGCCAGGGTTCAGGTATACATACACTAGATATGAACCGCGCTATATTAAGATGAGAAAAAGAAGTTTTCTAATTTGGCGTTTACGTTTAATGTCATAAATACTCTCTATATCAAATTGGTCTGACTAAAAATAGTAGTTTTATGATTTTTATTAGATATATTACATCAATAGTAAATAAGATATCAAGTTACAGTTGTTTGCGGTTTTTGGGAATTAAATTTTAGTTTTTACATCATAACAATTATATATATTCAACCGTTCTATAGAAATGTTTTCTTCTTCTGAAACTCATTTTATCCACGAAATACTAGACAAATGTTAATGATGATATTATCTATTTAACAGATATAACAACACCAAATATATACAAGCAACATTCTGTTTCAAAAGTTTATACAAAATATTCTTTATTATAAAGTGCATATATTTTTGTCACACATTTCAAAGTGTTTTGTGAATCAAGATTGAATCACTTTTCTGTTACACAGGTATGGTTTCAAAATCGACGCGCAAAGTTCCGTAAAATGGAAAGAGCCAAACAACAACAGCAAAGTCAGTCCCAGCCACAAAGTCCGCCAGTAAAACAGGAAAACAACACAGGGAATGGCAGCAGCAATAATAACAACAGCAACAATAGCAATAACAACAACAATAACAACAACAACATGAACAAAGAGAAATCGAAACCATTAGAGGACACTCAAGGTATAATAATAATAATAATAATAATATGTTATTATGGGGCGTCCGTAGCCGAGTGGTTAAGCTCGTTGACTTCAAACCACTTGCCCCTCACCGCTGTGGGTTCGAATCCCAACAGGGACTTTGGATTCTTTCATGTGAGGAAGCTATCCAGCTAGCTTACAGAACGTCAGTGGTTCTACTCAGGTGCACCTGAGGTCTTCCTCCACCAGTAAAGCTGGAACGTCGTCAAATGACCTATACTGTGTCGGTGTGACGTTAAACCCAAATCAAACAAAAAAAAATGTTGTTTTTGTTGTATGAGTAACCGAAAGACAATTTCGCCGCTGGCCAAACAAGATCAAGATGCTGTGCTTGTTTCGAGGTTCGAAAGTCAATTTAGTAATACTTTTTATTTTGATGACAGAACAGATTGAATTTACCAATGCTTACAATTGCTGTCCGTATACTAGTATTTTATGTCTTAAACTGTTTTAAACAACTTGTTCGTGTAAAGTGTACTTCTAACACCTTCCTTAAAAATTTAATTCTTTTATTCAAACCGTTTTTTTTAATTGACGGAGGAAATGGTATTTTAACCTTCTTTTCTTTGTTTCCAGCTAAATCACCAAACGAACCACCAAAATGGTCTAACCAACTCAATAACGCTAACAAGATGACGTCATCAATGTTGGGGGTACCAGCACTTCCGGGACCATATTCCAGTATCCTATCATCTTCTGTATCTGACTATCCTCAGAATGCAATGGACACAAAAATACCAATATCGGCGCCAATGTTTTAATATAAAATTCTCATTTCTTTACATGTAACGGAAACAAGTAATAAGGGAGACAAACGCGGTTGGAATGTTTTATTGAACAAAAGCGGTGTCTTGGGAACACAAGAGAGAACGCAAGAGAAAGTTGTAGGTTGTGAGCTTGAATGATCGGAATAACGGATTTGTTTCTACATCATATGAATTCAAAGACATCTTGGGAGAACTACAAAGTTGGAAACTGAAGACAGCCTAAGCATATATATTATTTTACACATGTATATGTCACATCTTTGCCGGCGTGAATTATTTCTTAGTATTCCATGAATTCTCAAAACTTCGACTGCTGACAGAGCTGTTTTGGTATAATGTTTATAATTTTCATTTTATTTGATATTATTGTTAAACCACTAGAAAATGCTGTAATTTACCATCTTATAAGAATGGTTAATTGTTCGTAAGTAACGAATACATCTTGAAACAAAGTGGAGGCTCGTGCTTATCTTCGGGGCTTTGTATTAATGTAATTTGATGTGACAAGACGTTTTTCGAGCACCAACATCGCAAAATACTGCATTTGTGATTGCATTAAAGAACTATCTTGTCAAAGATAGTTTGTCAGCTTTCTCCCCCATCTTACTGACAAACCTATCCCAAATTTATGCAACCGAGTAAAAACCAGAGTCAATTTTATACTGATCTTTAAAACTGTTGAAACCTAAATAATCATGACAAGACAAATAAAACAGAATATTCATTCCGACACTTTTACTATGTGCACCATACCGATGTTTCTCAATTTAAATGTAGAGTGAAGATATGTCATCGAACCTTGAACTTTTACAGAACACTGGAACAATAAAATACAGGGCAAAAACAAAAATTGTAAGACTGCTTGATCTGACTTAATGCATGTAAAATTAAGAATGTACTTTTGTATTTAATCTTTGAGGGTTGGTGCATCTTTGATAATAAAGAAAGCAAGGAATATAATTTTATCTAGTTCGATGCTGAGCAAAAAGAAAATGTAAAAAATCTTAACGTAAAGGAAGGATGGAAATAAAAATATATACTCGTACACGTACACATTCCGTGAAACATGCTCTTATTGCATAAGACAGTTAAGCAAGTACACTTTTTTGTATTTTATCCGGAGAGGTCTCTGTAGGCAATAATAATGTTTCTTTTTTAAATAAGCAAATTTCTGTTTATACTGCCATAGTGTTCATAAACGATCATATTCATATATTTTATTGGATTTTGTTGGTTGACAAAGGACCACTCGCTGACATGGTTGTCGTCAATTTTGGCCCATTAAACATCGCACCAGTTGAAAATAGTTCTGTCATTTAATATTTGTTCAAAGTTTTAATAGATAGATATAATTTATTGACGTATACATATTTGTACATAGTCACAATAAGAAACATGTAATACATAAATCATAAGTCATGGTACGATCATATTGAAAACAAACATTGTTAAACAAAAGTATATATGGAGAATGTTCTTAAATCCATATTTAAACAATACAAAGTTGGCATTACTCTTACTAAAAAAAAAAAAAGGCAAAAATGACTTTCATATATTTAATATGTAGTGAATCAACGATTAAAATTACATGATAAATACCATACTGTCGCTTTTTAATGAGCAAAATTATCATGCGCATACTGGTAAAAATAGTCTTTAAATGGTAAATATTAATAAGGTCATATCGACGCTTAGTAGCAAAGAATGATGTATTTAGCAAGTCCAATTAATTCGGATTTATTTTTTGACTTCAAAAGCTGCAAAAATTTAAACATACTCGGCCTTCTGTAAAATATGGCTTAATGAACTCCTACGTAATGCAGTATAACAATTGCAAATGATAATAAAATGAAATTCATCCTCAATTTCTTGAAGATTACATAATTCACATTTTCTTTCAGAACGTGGATTTCTATAGGACCATACCTCTCTGCCTCTATCTTTAATTTATGAGAAAGATAATCTAATACGAGATAAATTTTGTCGGTAGGAATTTAATGAATAAATTATCAAGATAAAATGCAGGTTCAAATATTGTCAATCAAATGTACATACAAATTAGACAAAAGTGGACTAGATTGAATGTCTGCATTTACCTTTTGTATAAAACA